AATCAAGCCGCTTAGCATTGCAGTGGGGAAGGTTTTCACTTACCCGTCTTCGCAACTTCGCCGGTTGCGTGCGCGGGCACACTTCCTGGCAATTGTAAGTAATTGCAATCGACTGATTTTTGTTATTCGTTGTATATTTATTTGATGAGTTTAAGGTGAATGGCGTTTTGGCCGTTAAGTACGTGGCAGACAAAATTGGCGTCTCATAGTGTTATCAGGCTATATCCGTACTTTTTATCAGTGTTCCCATGGTCGTGTTGTTTGTGCCCGGTTTCAAGTCAATACCAAGGTATGCCTACTCGACTCGTCCGACTCAGGGACATCGAGTGTCTCGACGATCGTCTTCTTGTTCTTCGATTGTCGTCCTCGTTGACTGTATGGACAGTGAGTACACTGGTGCGGGATAAATACGTTGTGAAATTCCGAATATTATTATGTTTAATATTTACATTCAATGAGAGTACTTACTTACACAAAACGTGAGAATGTTCCGAGGGAAAACGCGTCACTATTTACAATTATTGAGTATTTATTTACCAGTATTTCCAACGGTGCTTTGTAGTTTTACCTACCCCCCCCTCTTAGTTGAGACACTTGTTGGTTATATTCCGATTCAGTAGAACGGTTTATCACTCGGACACCACTCACACATACGTTTGTTACAATCTTGACCAATATTTACCAAGAATTACTAATATTTCACAAATGTTGATTTTTATTGGATTAATATTTGGAAAATACTTAGGAAATATTCCCATCAGAATATAACATTCACCAAGGCAAAGCATATAAAACGTCTTTCAATCCGAAACACCGTTTGGGTGTAAAATACTTTACACGATGCAAAACAAGTCACACTATTAGAGGTTATAAGTGTAGTAAATCTTCTTCATTTTTCTTCATTAAGATTATTGCTTGATGATTGCCAGGTAACTAGTGGTACGATTCGATTTCCGCCGATTACAAATCTCCCTTTATATATGTCATCTCTCATGTCAACACATTATACTTTAACAAGCATCACCATTCTTTCTCCTTTTTATCTAGACTCTATTATTCTGGGTATGGGAACATTGTTAATGTAGACGTCCTATATTCGGGATTTGAGACTGCGTCACGACGTCTAGCTCCGCCAGCACACTATTCACTAATTCAACAGTTGCGGCCAGACAGTTTTCCCCTTACGTATAGTTGTACAAAGTGAAGTCTGAAACCGTTTCCCAGTAACTAAAGATATACTCCAATAATACAACACCCGCGTCGGGGGTTGTCCATAACCTTTTGTCGGCCGTATAGTTGGGAACTCACTAAAGAAGTAATCTAAAAGTAACGTACAACACTAAGTCCCCGCCAACATGTCAGAGTACCCGTAAAAGCACAAGTGGTTGTGGCTAAAATTAGATAACTAAGCACAAGAAGGTGGGTTGTGCTAAAGGGGAGGAAAAAAGCACACGTGTCGTGCTAAAATTTTCGTTACATAAAGATAACCATAAGAGTGCCGTAATGCACAATATCCTTCTGGCCTTCGACACACCAAGTATTTTTTGTACAAGAATGAGTTATCGTTCGGTGTTAATAGACGAAAATTAAAATTGTAGCATATTAAAGCCTGAAAACGACGGCAGACACTCCTTTTATTTACACCCGAGTCTCGGAGTCTTTATGACTTTAGACATAAAAAAGTTAGAAAAAGGAAGATTAAACAATAAGAAAAGGTTTTTATTGTGTGTGACAATAAATGAGTGGTTATTGTGGTGTTAGATAGGACAAAAATAAATAAACAAATCAAGGTAATTAGGAGACCGAAAAAACCGCAGGCAGTCCTTGACTTAAAGTTTTATTTTTATTCGGCATTTGTCTGCATCCGTAAAGCTCGCTAATGGTCTAGGAGTCGCTACCCAAATTCGAGCGGCTAACCTACAAAAATCGACGTTACGTACAACCCTAAACCACAAATATACTATACTTTAGCCTTTTTGTAAAAATTTCTTATTTTCTTAATGAATTAAGGCTCACAAGACCCCGAAAAGAGAAACCTTTCAGTAGTGTATTGCCGTAACATTATGTGCCAAGCCGACGTAAGTATAATGTCTAGACGGCATCAAGAGATAAATATCTCGGGGACTACTCTTCTGGGAAACCTTTTTTGACCTTCTTTACGTCGCTTTGACTTATGACTACCACCTAGTATTTATAAAGTTGTTAATTTGTGTAGAAAGTTAAAGAGAAGTGTGTTATGCAGAGGAGCGTCAGTTATCATTTAAGCCGACATGTAACTAGATTAAGTATCTATCCAATACGGTGGGTATTGCCACGTGTCGACTATATTTTCCTGAGAAAAAAAAGAAAGAAGAACCATCTTCTCAAAAAATTTCTATATGACTATGACTAAAAGAAACTTATATTCTTACATTTATGACTCAGACTTTATCATATCGTTATACGACATTATTTAATACACCTTTTGTACTTATTAGAGTAGAAGTCTACCATGTATGTATTCGCAAGGATGTGATTATTATGCTTGAATAATACCGACACACATGAACACCGTGGCGGATCACAATTTCGTGCAATAACCTTAATAACGAAAATACACATATATAACTAATTTCTTTTATAATTTCATGTATGAAAGTATCCTTTCATCCTTCCAGTTACTAATCGTTATATCTTATATTTTTAAGTTCTTTATGACATTAACTAGAGATGTTATTTTGTCAAATCACGTCCTGAACATGTTTCTATAATTATCCTCCACGTTTTATCATGTTGTTAATATTGGGAAATAATTTGTAATTATTATGAAATCCTAATTAAAAAAATTTATTCTTTTTCAACCCCAAGAATGTCTAATTTATATTCGATTTTATGATTGCAGAGTTATATAACAAAGTACTGTTACAACTTGCATACAACCGTGAATAAATTGACTATAATATGATATCATAATAATGAAGAACACATACAGTGACCTTTCCTTTTGCCTCACCTAAAGATCCTTGTAGCTCCCCCATGTTTCGTACGTCTTTTTGGATTCACTTTAAATTTTGTCTGCATATAAGCTTCACAAGCAAAAATGTCAATCTTCACAAACGAATGAATTCCGTGAATTCATTTGGAATGCATGTGAGTCAAAACATGCAAAGCGTAGCTTCTCTCGCGGTGCTCGCTGCAAAAGTAGAGCAATGTTCTACTTTTGCCGCCTCGACGGAGGCGTCAGCCAATCGAATCATATGCCAGTACAAGCTCTAGCCAATCAAACGTGTGTAGGAGCCTTAAGGCTTGGGTTAGCTTGTAAGCAAGTGGTATCTACATCTGTGCTAATGATGCTAATCGTAGCCTCCATGTTAAAACGTAATAGAGAAGTGTTAAGCATTAAGTGGGATAATACTGTAGAATAAACGGCTTCTGTTGAAGTTGGTAAATAAGGTCATCCTTGTAAGTTAGAGAGATATTTTATTAGGTAGGTAACTTTATGCATCGCTAAGGTTCATTTAAATTCACTATGCTCGATTATGTAGACAAGCTAATGTCAAAGTAAGAGAGGCGTAGTGTATGTGAAATTAACCTCACAATAAGATGTGTGTATATTACAAATAATAATGTAATATTTCAAGATGATTACTTAGATATTACGATATGGTTGGTTGAGCTGGAGTTCATTATTGAGGTTAGACGTTAACTTCACAGTCATATCTGAGGAACGAACCCACACCGTGATCTTTGTATTAATTGTATTACCAAATTGGTATCAAATAAATAGTAAGCATTGGTAACACCAATGCTTACTATTTAAGTAAACTATTTGATTTGAGTATTTGTGTCTGGGAGAAGGTACTGTACCCAGTTCCTATGTTCGGCAGTTATAGACTGGGCTTTCTTGTGCAAGAAAATACTTTTATTTTTTAAAATCAATTTGGACCATTACTGTATAATTATCCTTATATTATGTTATACAATGCACCTAATAAACAAGTATGGCATTTTGAAACATGATTTGCAACAATTGTTACTGTAATTTGTGATGATGTTGTGATTCATTTTTTGTTAGTATGCACGTGGACGCTTTGGACATACTGTACCTGGAGAAGGAAGAAATGGGTCTTCGGAATGATGGGAGTTAAAGACAAAAGGCGGAGACTAGTGTTGAAACTAGTGGAGAAACGAGCAAGATGCCACCTTGTCCCTCTGATTAGACGGCATGTTAAGTCAGGAAGTAGCATTATTAGCAGTGATGCAAACTCATCAGGTATGAAAAAGGTGATAAGGATCCGAGCTCCCCAACCCCACGGAATATCGGCTTTAAAACTAGGAATAATAGAGGATTTTAGCAGTCAGAACAACTAAAGCAGCAGTGTTAATAATAACAGAAACGCCAAAGAGTCACATCTAATATAAATATATAAAAGCATTTATTTTAATTGTGTAGCAGTCAGTTTATAATTTTGGCAGCACTGTTGAGCATTTTGAAAATTGGAGTTGGAGAAACACCTCAAGGTTCTTGAATGGTCGTCTTGGCTCAGCTCACCCTGATGGACTGCTTGGATGCTTGTTCAAGGATATACAAAAAGCTTTTTAGTCTGAATACCATTATGTCTTACCAAGTCTTTAATTTATGTCTGAGAAAAGCTTTTATGTTTAAATATCTGTATCAGTCATACTAAACAGTCATTATTTTGAATCCTGATTTTATTCATGTGTGAATAAAATGTTTTGCTTGGTTCTGTTGAATCTTACTTTGCATTTCTGTGAAAAATGTGTATTAGGTAAGCGTGAATGTTATAACTAATTCATAAATGTGTATTAAACTTAAAAACAACACACCCTTTCAGTAGTTATAAATGTTAGTGACTCATCAATACATGGTGATGTGTTTGACACTTTACAATAAGGCTCCCTTTTACCGGTCACAGTTACCCTGTTTATCTCATGTCTTATAAAAGCTTATTAATGATTTATAAAGTGTTCACAACCTAATTAATTAATTAATTACAAACTATTCGTAAACCCTTTATAAGGGTAGTCTTATTGTAAAGTGCTACCTACGCTATAAAACCAGCTCTTAATAGTGAGTGAAATTACATTTTCCCAGATAATGTATCCAGATACAGAAGACACAACGATATGTGGTGTTAAAAACTGGTGGATGGAATAACACTTACAGTGGAGAGGTAATAATGACTTTCAGCCGTACAAATATAAGGTGCAAGAATGTGATGGCAATCTAAGTTTTGCGATTGAGAGCCTGACGGTAAAGAGATTCAGAAGATCACTTCTAAAACGATGGACAATATTGATGTTCTTTAATGCAATCTTTGTAACACATGTTTTGGCTTCATTGCCAACTGAGTACATGTACATCCTGCTGAAGTCAAACATTCCCCAAGGTCAAAAAGCAGGATAATAATAAGCCAGTTGGCAGTGTGAATGTGCACACTCACTTGTGACCACGTTCTGGGAGGCAGGCGGTCCACGCTTGTTGTTCTTTACCACCTCCAGCTTGACCTCGTACTCCTGGCCGGGGCCCAGGCCCGACTGCTCAAAGGTGGTCTCAGGACGGCCGAGGGAGTTAAGAATCTCACCATCTTCCTCTTTCTGCCAGCACCCAAAAACACCAGTCATCAACCACTACAAAGATTAGTGCTGGTATTATGTGGTGAGTGGGAGGAACGGCATACATAAAGGCGCTCTGTTTCCTGTTAAGAGTTGACTCAGTTTAATAAAATGTGGCTTTGAGTAAATCCCAGTAGCCCTGCATGGAAAAGTTTCTATGACCACTCAACAAAGAAAATAAAGCATGAAGCAAAGTATCAATAGCTCTGTGCTGAGTGGTCATTTGAGCTGACACCCACTATGACCCTCATCTATTAGACCAATACTGAATTTAAAGTAGGGGCTCTGCACTGGGGCGTAAAATATCTCTACCAGAGGAAAATGTTCCATACTTGTAGAGGCTTTGGTAGGCTCTAGGGACTGGAATACAGAAGCTCTGTTGGGAAGCAGGACTCACCGTGTTTCTGAAGATGATGTTCCAGCCATCGAATGGAATGTCCAATGAATCCCACTCCACTTCCACTGACGTCTCCCTCACTGATTTGAACTTCAGTCCCTCAGGCTCAGGCAGATCTGAGAGGCAAGACACAAAACTCTCACTACATTTCATCTAGATCTACATGGGATTTTGTAAAAAAGCTGCAGAGGAGATTGACGTACGTGTAGCCAACCGAGCGCTGACTGGAAGACTCTTCTTGTTATTGAGCACAGCATAGACACTGATCAGGTACTCTACACCAGGCTCAAGCTCCTTAATGGTGGTCATTATCTGGTCCCCAGGCACCCGCATGTCTAGCTCCAGACCTCCAACGGCCGTCGGTACATATGTGATCAGATACTCTGCGACACGCATCTCATTCTTCCAGGACAAGTCCACTGTCTCTGGGCTGACCTCCTCCACTGTCAGCTCCTTTGGTGGGGAGACTATAGAGAGACACAGAAAATCAGTCATCTGTGCTGAGGTAATAAAATGTTAGCATCGAAGGAGAGTTTTCTACGAGGACTGGATGGTTTCCAATGGGAATATTCATTGACTTGCATTTGTCATTGACATTTTGACATGATATTATAAGAAAACATCACGTTGATGCTTATAGAATTTGGTTTAAAGTTACTTTAACACAAATATATATTCTGAAGATGTACTACAGGATTTAGAGCCATGTTTTTTTATTTGGTAGTTTTTCTGGTTATTTTACAGCAATAAGCTAAGCAAATAAAACCAAATCATCAATACATATCAAGTCAACTTTGTGAATTTGCAATGATGAAAAAGCTAACTGCAGGCTAAGAGTGACGTAATCAGGACACAAAAAAAGCAATCAGATTACTGTCTCATAAAAAAAGGATTACAAGCAGGATTACAATGTTAATAAAAACGTACAGGATGAGATGTTATCTCTTCTCTGTAGACTGTACTTTTTCTGTAGGCTAATACTTTAAGTGTGAATCTATACGACTACTGCCTGAGTTAACAGGTAACTAGTAATTGTAACGGATTGCATTTAGTAACACTTCCAAATCTGGTTTAAAGACAATAGAACTAGCTTAGTACCCACTGATGTACGATTTCTAGCACCAATTCTCCTTCAAAGATCAATGGTGAAACTTTATCACTTTTGTAACTCATCCCCAAAATGTCAGTTCTTTGTCTATTTGAAAGGAGCAGCGAGAATGTTGAGGCTCTTCTCAATATTTTTCGTCCCTTAAAGCTAATTCTTTTTTTTTTAACAATATATTTGTATACTCTCTCAAATGCTATTTCCAAAAGCTGCAGCAGGCATAATGCAACATACTCCCAAAACAAAAACGGAACAAAACTGAATATTAGACATTCAATTAGACATTCAATATTCTCCTGAATTTGTTGTTCCACTTGTGGATGTGTGAACAGGCAACATATTCGCTTACATGCACACTTCATTATGTTTAGACTATTAGAATAGGCCAATACAATTGTAAGCTTGTTATCTGACCCTAAGTGGCCAAAAAATCAATAATGCAGGTTTAATGCCAATACTTGTAGAATGTTTCTGACTTTGGCTTTCACTGGTAGTATATTGAAATAGACTGCAGACTTTGTAAATTCTAAGTTGCCCAGGTGTAAGGATTACTCTCAGTGAATGAACCATCTTACCCTCAGAGCAGTCCTCTCCAAGGAAGCCCTCGTCGCAAACGCAAACTCCGTTATCACAGCGTCCCTGGTTCTGGCAGTTTTCTGGGCAGGTCAGCATGGAGCAGTCCGACCCGGTGAAACCTTCGTAACACACACACTCGCCATCGACGCAGTAACCTCTCTCAAGACAGTTCTTGGGACAGGTCTTCTCGCTGCAGTCCTCGCCAGTGAAGCCCTTATGACAGACGCACTGTCCGTTGACACAACGACCTTGGTCCAGGCAGTCATTGGGGCAGGTCAGCTCGCCGCAGGATTTCCCAGAGAAGCCGACGAAGCACACACACTTGCCGTCCACGCACTCACCACGTCCCATGCAGTCTTTTGGACAGGTCTTGGTGCTGCAATCCTCCCCGCCGTAGCCTTTGTTACAACTGCACTTTCCGTTAACGCAACGACCACGGTCTTGGCAATTGTTAGCGCAGGAGAGCTCGCTACAGTCTTCGCCTTGGAAGCCTACGTCACACACACATTCTCCGTTAACGCACTGGCCCCTGTTGCTACAGTTGTCGGGGCAGGAGAGGATGGAGCAATCTTCACCCTCATATCCTGGATCACAGATGCATTTCCCGTTGAAGCAATGGCCTCTTTCGTTGCAGTTCTTGGGACAGGTGAGCTTGGAGCAATCCTCTCCAATGTAGCCGGTCTGGCACACACACTGGCCGTTCACACACATGCCACGGTTGTTACAGTTGCCAGGACAGGTAAGCTCCCCGCAGTCTTCTCCGGTGTAGCCCTCTTCACAAAAGCAGGTGCCGTTGACACAGCGTCCGCGGTCGTAGCAGTCGTTTGGACAGATGAGTTCGGAGCAGTCGAAGCCCGTCCACGGCTCGTCGCAGACACACTCGTCCTCTACGCACCGCCCGCGGCCGAGGCAGTTGTTGAGGCAGCTGGTCTGGGCACAGTCCTCCCCGATGAAGCCGTCCTCACAGAGGCAGAAGCCCTCCACACAGTGGCCATAGTCACCACAGTCCAGCATGCAAAGCTCACTGCTGCAGTCGTCCCCACCAAAGCCCTCAAAGCACTCGCATTTGCCGTCCACACAGCGGCCCTGGTCCTGGCAGTCGTTGGGGCACTCAGGCTCGGTGCAGTTGGGGCCCTTCCATCCAGGCTCACATATGCAGCTACAGGTCTCAGTGCTCCAGTTACCATGGCCATTACAGAAGGGCTTTGTGGACACTTCACCTGGGGAACAACCACACAGGAAAAATAAATATTGTAAGAAGAAATTCAATAAAATGCGCAATGCATCCATTTCTAAGGTAACTTGCCCTATTATAGCCTCCTGGGACCCGAGGAAAAAAAGTGTCTTCCAATTTCCTTTTTTTTTTGTGATTTCCTACTTATTTAGGGTTAAAAAAACATCTCGCAATTTAGACCTTTTTTATTTTATTTAAAATGTTACAGTATGTCACTGTAGAGGACGTCTGGACCATATTAGTTTTGAAAAAGACAGCCGCAAAATGAAACGATAGACTATGTAACGTATGGTTATAGAGTGAGTGATATAATACAAGTAATAAGCATTCACCTTTATTTAAAACATGGAATAAGTAAATTAATCTGAACATTGCTGTTTATTTGGTCACTAAAAAATCAGGTTGGTTTTTGTGAATCTTTCCAGATATCTTCAAGAGACTTTGTTGTCAATGTATTGTGGGAAACAGTACCTCATGTGACTCAGTCGGCACGGCTGTAGGGTCATCTGGACTAGTTTTATGGATGATGGTCTCCAGTTTGACCATGCTCATAGAAACAAAGCTGGGCTTCCCCTGAGGCAATTTAAATTTTTCATGGCTCCACTTAAAATAAACAACAATTTTTTGCCTGTCCAATTTAAATTAAATCACTTTGAAAATACATTCATAGTGACTTAACATTTCGTACAAACCTGAATGTTTCCCAAAGGTGCTCCTGGACAGCCCATAACTGACAACTGGCAGCTACAAAGCTTCGTATTATATTCAAGTCCTAACGAGACTAGCAAGTCATCTTTTAAAGAATCACCGGAATCTTGATCATATATTTGCATTCCAATGTTTGCCCTGGTAAATGTTGGATTGTGTGATTCACCCAGCCCCTTTAATGGAAGGAAACAGCAGACGTTTCAAAACACGGAATGAAAACAGATGAGTAGAAGGTAGGAAGACAAAGCATTAACTTATCCCTAACATTGTAAAAGGGTGACACTAATATGAAATACAGACAATGTGTGGTTAATGAGTAATGAAGATGCAATATAATTGCTAAAAATATTGCCTGGCCAGCTTTAAAAACGGTGCTGCTTTGTTTACCTATGAAATCTAGAATCCACCAGCTTTCGAACAATGTCGTTGAATCCAATTAGGGTTTGATTCCACCTGAGTTCACTCTCACATAGTATACTGAAGGAGACGAGACATAAATACGGTGAAGGGTACACAGCTACCTGATACCTGAGCTCCACGAGCACCCCGCTCCCTCGCTGCACTGCCCCTCAGACTCGACAGCTCGGACTCCAGTCACTTCCAGCCTGCTCAGGATGTCCTGTGATATCGGTGCAGCTGGTTGTCGCAGCCGCACGCTGCTTGGGGAATATTGATGCGGTGGGTGAAAACGATCTGATTGTTCCCGTTCCATGGGTGTGGCTTCCATGTGCTCGCTGTTCTGCATGTCCATCGGGCAACTCTTTGTTGAGATCGGTATCACCAGGGGCCATCGAGTTCCACGGAGCGAGGACGTGGAGGGGACGTTGATGTTGTAGACGTGGTTAACACCACCGGCTGGTCGGAGTGGGGAGGGGGTGATGTTCATCCTGGGTTTGCTTCGGACTCAGAGCATCTGCTTCGGTGGCGGATGACCTTTTTGGACCAGGCCACCAGTGGACATCTCGAGGAGCGCAGGGTCACGTCACACAAGCCCAAGAAGGAAGCCTTTAATGCCCATGATGCCCCTGACACTCAGACAACAGTCTATTCAGGTATCATTAGGTCTTCTTGTCCTAGTACTAGAGTAAAATAAAGAAACAGACAGAAGAACAAATTAAGAAGAATCCTTCATGGCCATTACTGTGTTCTTTAAGTCTTTATGTGGAAAAGGCCCAGTTAAAATCAAAAGGCGTTATATTTTCAGTGTTGGAGTTGGGAATTTAAATAGAATTGTTTCAACTCATTTAATGTTATTCAACTCCAAGATAGTTATTATTGAAACGAGTTGGTGTTGAAAAGGGAGTCGAATTGGTTGAATTATCCAAACAAATCTAGAGTGTTTGATTTAATTCAATAGTTACAATCTCTCTTTCTGGTGGTCACGGCTGTCCGCTCTGTTGGGTTGGCCGTGATTAGTGACTGGTGTGTGCGCAGTCCGAGGCGGAGACGAAGTAAGAGGAGCATACCACCACATTCTATAGGAGGAATAAACCTGAAAAAATTGTAAGTACTTCAGTCAATGTTTCGACCCAAGTAGCCTGCGTACACGGTAATTTATTTATTTAGCTGATAAATAAACCTAGCGCTTATCTCAGCTACATACATACTAATGATCTTAAATTGGACGCTGTCTTCGCTCCACGTGCTACGTATAGATTTGCTGCTATCATTAGCCAGGGTTGTTTAGCCTAACCTCTTTGTAATATGCATTACAAAGTCTGTCATTGGGGTGTTTAGCCCATGTATTGGTCAGCAGGGCGGTACTAAGGGGGGGGGGGAGTCGCCCCACTAACACTGACCTCGTACCCCCTGTGGCCCCCCTAAAAATTGAAAAAAGTGAAAAAAAATGAAAAATGTATGGATTGTATTACACGATTTATATGAATGACGGAATAGGCGGAACTAACGTGTATTCGTCATTCTAGTCGGACCCATTAGAGCGGTGGCACCTCAGGACTCATTAAGCGGTGCCACTCACTTTCACTGTCCGGCTGAAGGGCGCGAAAAACAAGACTTTTCCATCTCGGTCATCGAGGCTGTTTGCATCCAAGAAAGACTGATTGAAAACCTACGTTTCGAGAGACTACCACGATAATTGAAGGTGATTAAATATTGTATCCGTGTAATGTAGAATGTAAGTAGAGATGTACTGTTCATTCAACTGCGTTTATTTTTATATAATATGATAGGTGTTAGTGCAAAAATTATATATAACTTAAGCTGAGCTAACAGTAATGAACTATAAGATATATCGAAATAAATAAGTGTACTTAAACAAATACCAAATAACTGTATTGCATTTGCTTTTCTCATGCGCAATTACTTCCATACTGTCTAGTTCTCTTTTTCGTTGCCTGCATTTATTGTGCCCTGCAGAAAATAACTGGCCCCCCAGTGGCCCCCCCAGTAAATTGGTCTAGAACCGCACTTGCTGTTAGTATATTAACTGGCTATTGGTTAAGCCTCGCAGGTGTTAAAGGTGGGGTAGGTAATTTTGAGAAACCCAGCTCGAGTGCGCTAGAATTTGAAAATACACGGCCGGAACAAATCTGCCATTTCCTTACAGAGCCCCTCCCTCCAACACACACGAAAGTGCACATGCCATGAGGAAGGAGATCAGTTTGTGCACGATGGAGGCTAAAAATGATTGGTCGTATGCTTTTACGGCTTCCCAGATGAATTTTTTAATGGATTTTTGTCAAAGCACTTAAGAT